CACCCCCCACCCCCCTCCTCCCCACATACAAATCCCGTTAAAGAGCAAAAATTTTTTAAATGCGTTCCAAAAATTTGTTTTTTTTTTTTGTTTTTTTGTTTTTTTTTTTTTTTTTTTAAATAATCGCGTAAAGATTGAAATGAATCCAAGGTTTTCAGGTACGTCCTCCTTCGCGTATAATAATAATCACGTATATTATACATAAAACCTGTAATTAACTTCATCATTCAATGATTTTCCGGACGCCATTATTAACAAAAACAAAACAAAACAAAACCTTCATTTTCTATCTCTCTCTCTCACACACACACACACAAGTTTACATTGATATGAAATTTTTTTTCAAATTAAGTAATGATTCCCCCACCCCCTGCCTCCTGCCCCCCAATAACGTCGTCGTAAATATTATTATTATTATTATTTTTATTAGTAAATTTAACTATGAGATATTTTTCCTTTGATGAATGAAAATTCATCGGAATTTTTTTTTTTTTATAAAAATAATTAATTTAATTTTTAACGTTTTTTTTAATAAATAAATATAAAAATGATGATAATGATGATGATGATAATGATGATAAAAACAATTATCGTGCGGTAGAGCAAATTAAAAAAGAAAACCTGCAGTAAAAATAGTTAATTTTTAAAGTAATTACTTAATTAAAAAAGAAAACAAATTTTTTTTTTTGTTTTCTTTTTTGTTTTTTCGTCGGATTCAGCGTTAAAATATATATAATAAAAAAAAATAAGAAAACCGTTTGGTTTGTTTTGTTTTTTTCCACCCCGTAATACAACAAACAACAAACAACAACCGCAATTTTTTTTATACACGAAAACGTCTGGTTATTTTCAGTTTTATTGATCGCCATCTTTAAAAAAAAAAAACTTTTTTTTTTGTTTTTTTTTTGTGTTCGTTTCCTATTTTTATTTATTTCCTAACTGACAAACGTTTCTTTTATTTATTTATTTATTTTTTAAATGATTTATTAAAACGAATATTATTAAGCGTGGATTTAAAAAAAAAAAAAACACGAATGTAATGATGATAACACACAATCTCTCCACTGTTTTTTTCCTCCCCCGTTCGCGATTATTACGATTTTATTATTATTATTATTATTATCATCATCCGTTACGACGATACGCACACAAAAAACATTTTTCATTAATAAAACTTTACATTAGAAAATGTCAAAAAAAAAAAAATAATAATAATAATTACTAAATACAAAAGGTAATTCGCGTTCGCCTATTAGAATTCAATTCTATGTAATAATAATAATAATAATAGTAAAAAACAATTACCCAAATTCTATGTCGAAAGTTAATTACATAGCATTAATATTATTTTTTTTGCTGACAAAAAGGTTTTTATCTTTCTTTCTTTCTTTCCCCCCTCCCTCCTTCTTCAGAGATAAAAGAAACTAGAGAGTGAAAAAGAGAGAGAGAGAGAGAGAAAATTACATTTACGAGATCAGAATTTTATGAATTTTTTTTTTTTTTTTTTGGGTTTTGAGGATGCGGGGGTGGTAACGTCACGAATTTTTTTCTTTTACTCTCGACGTTTATGAAAAAATTATTTAATTACGTAGTAGACAAAGAAAGAATCGAAAAAAAAAGGGTCGA